GTGGGCGATTCCACCCTTCATCATCTTCCAAGGCAAGCACCACCTCTCCGCCTAGTACAAGGAGGAGAGCCTGCCTCGAGACTGGGTAATTGCAGTCTCTGAGAACGGCTGGACGACAAACAAGCTTGGTATCGAGTGGCTAGAGCACTTTGACAGGCATACAAAGGGGAGGGTTGTTGGCAGCCACCGCCTGCTAGTTCTCGACGGTCACGAGAGCCACAGCTCAATCGATTTCCACCAGCTCTGCGAGGAGAAGAAGATTATCACCCTCTGTATGCCTCCACACTCCTCGCACCTACTGCAGCCGCTTGACGTTGGCTGTTTTGCGCCGCTAAAGAAGGCGTATGGGTGCCAAGCCGAGAAGCTGATGCGCAACAAGATCACCCACATCACGAAAACAGAGTTCTTACCGTGCTTTATTGCCGCCTACAAGGCCTCTATTACAAGGAGCAATATCCTAGGAGGCTTTTGAGGCGCTGGCTTAGTTCCATTCGATCCAGAGGCTGTGATATCGACGCTCGACGTCCGCCTGCGTACTCCACCGTTACCCACCGTCGAGGACGGTCCCTAGCAGTCGCAAACCCCAAGCAATACCCTAGAACTAGGGTCTCAAACGAAGCTAGTTCTCGAGAGGTTTCAGAGGCATGTAGATAGCTCGCCTACTTCGATGGTTGAGGCGGTGAAAAGCCTCTCTAAAGGCGCAGAGATAATGGCGCATGCTTTAGTGTTGTCGCAAAAGCGTATCGCCGAGCTTGAAGCAGCTAACGAGGCCGCTACGCGACGTAAATCGTATAAAAGAAAGCGAGTACAGAAGGAGGGGACCCTTATAGTAGAGGAAGGTCTTCGACTAACAACTCTAAAGGAGTTTAGGGCGCGCAGCGATGGGAAGAAGGCAAAGAAGAAGGCGCGCGTTGAAGTAGGCGAATCGTCTCAAAGACGCTGTAGACGCTGCGGCGAGGTAGGACACAACTCGCGCACATGTACGTAGGATGTAGTAGATATTTCTAAATAAATTAGGCTACTACGAATATTAATTACTGTTCTTAACAGTGCTGCATAGTAGTGCGTAGTTGCAGGTTTAGTTAGGTCTTGGCAAAAAGGTTCCACTCGCTTGAAGGTTCCACTCGCTTGTGACCTACGTTAAGCAGCTGCTCGTACAGTCTTGATCTAATGCTTGTTTAAAGATAAGATAGTTAGCTGTATATCAGCTTCAGATAAGCGCGCTAGAGCTTGTTGGTGTTGCGGCATGGTTGGATTGAGCTTCAAAGGTAATCAAAGTTGGTGGGGTGGGCGACTCGCTTGCGTGGGCGACTCGCTTGCCACATACGTTATGTATCAACCAGGCAGACGTTCATGAGCGCAGCAGCCAAGTCCGACTCATGAATACAATATACCGTTCAGCGGAAATGGTTGCGATTTGGCTTGGCCCAGCTGCACATGATAGCGATCTAGCGTTCGATAAAATGAAGGAATGGAAGGTGAGATTTGATGAACTAAAAGAACAATTCGATGCATCCGAGGAGTTAGCAGTTACAAGTATCTCTTCTGACGACCCTCTCTTCTTTGGTCCTTGCGGCTCGCAAGAACAGAGGGCGCTGGAAGCATTACGAATGATATGTCGTCGGCCTTGGTGGAGAAGAGCATGGATAGTTCAAGAGGGGACCATTGGCAACCCTATGCGTACGATCCTATTTTGCGGGAGCCGTAGGATTGACTGGACCTATCTACGAGCAGCCCTTCAGATTACCCATCACGTCACGCATTACCAAGGCTCCGGTATGAGTATTGATTTCGACGACGGTATGGCTATTCGGCTTGACGCTTTCCGGATAGACAGAGAATATGGCGCAAACATCTCGCTGTTACGCGTCCTGAGACTTATCCGAGCATACGAATGTGAAGATTCTCACGACAAGCTGTACTCAGCCCTCGGAATGGCCATGGACGTGTACGGGGACGATATAGTTCCGGATTATACAAAACCTTCCTCAGCGGTCTACAGCGACATTGTCCGTTTTTACATCTCGAAGTCGACTAATCGTTCTCTGGATGTCCTCGGTGAGGTATGGAGATCAGCACCAGGCACAGCCTTTGAGCACCAACATGATAAGTCATTACCGTCCTGGACACCAGATTGGACGTTCCGAGCATCCCAGCATCCTTTTGAAAAGGTTTTAGACTCAGATGCGTACGGAGAAAGTAAGAATGCCTACAACGCTAGCGAGACGAGTGGTGGACACTGCTACATTGACGGCTCGCATTTATGTCTTCAAGGATTAGTACTTGACCGCATAATCCGAGTATCGAGTGTATGCGAGTGGAATTTGGCCGCTGGAGAGCTCGACTTGGAGCGATCATGGGTACCAGAAAACGCAGGCAAACTGTACTTCACCGGAGAGACGTTGATGGAAGCATTCAATCACGCTATCGTAGCTGATATCGGACGAAGGAACTTTCGAAACGATTCTGAATTATCACGGGGATTTGCCATAGATTGGGACTTGGTTGGACAGGACAGAACATATTTGACTGCTGAAGAACGTCGGAGGCAGAGCTGGATGCTTATCGATACAAAGATGGCAACATTCGGGAGAAGGCTGTTCGAAACTAGTAGAGGCTTTATTGGACTGGGACCTGCAGCCGCTCAGATAGATGACGGAACCTGTCTTCTTCTAGGAGGACAGGTTTGCTATGTGTTGAGAACTCGTAAGGATGGCCATCATGAGTTTATTGGCGAGTGTTATGTGCACGGCATGATGGATGGTCAGGCGTGTGAAGACGAATCATTCTCAATCAGGGACATAGTACTCGTGTGATACAGGGTCTAAATGTCGCTCATCTGAGTAGATAAGTTTGGTGTTGGAGAAGATATTGCGAATCTAACCACGCAATCCGCAAAGTTGTTCGCGACTCAAGTATAGGATCATTGCACACCAATGCCATACACCCAAGCAAAGCAGGGAAGAGAAATGTGCATGCCACGTGGGCATCGATATCATGGTATCTTAATCCTATCATCTCCCCTCTGTTCCTCCTCCTCCTCCTCCTACTACTACATGAACACACCAGAAAAGAAGAAAGAACTTTGCAGGCAAACTACATGTACAAATTACGCCTTTTGAAAATGCAACCCAGCGAGCGCAATGTAATCCACCACAACGTCAAGAAACCCACCTACGCTTTAAACCACGACTTGGTCATCATCATCGTCGTCATCCTCAAAGTCCTCGGGTACTTCTTCAGGAACCAGCACATTCTCCGGCCTATCATCGTCGTCGTCGTCGTCGTCCTCACCCTTGACGCCGCCGCCATTCACACCCGCCTCCCCCATAGTAATCTCCCTGCTCGGCATCTGCCCACCATTCGCTTTCATAGCCTCCACCTTTGCCTTTGTCATCTCATACACATACTTGCCCAGATGCTCTACATCTTCCATGACAGCAGCACCTTGCACTTCTTCTCCTTCTACTTGTTCTACCGACCGCCTTGTCTCACCAAACATCTCGTCCGTGACCAAGGTGAGTTTATCCGGGCGCTGGAGTAAGACGTCAAACGCCGGTTTGAGTTCGAAAACGCTTTCAAAGACGGAGCGACGACCGAGGACGTACAGACCGAGTCTTGCACGCGACAAGGCGACGGTGAGGCGTCGAATGTCTCTCAAGTAGCCAATGGCGCGTGTTCGTACAAGTGACAAGATGATATCTGCAAACGTACACACATGATGTTAGCGGTCTGTCCATCTCTCTTCTAGAATATAGGATAGCGACTTACAATCGTTCTGTTCACCTTGATACTTATCCACAGTGCTAACATGCTTCGGCCGCCCAAAAAGCGGGTTGTTCTTACACTTGTGTCCCAAGACATCATTAATCAACGACCTCTGCCCAGCATACGTGGTAAGAATGCTAATTTTGTGTGCAGGATAACCCAGTAAACGCATATACATGAACAGCGCAACCGCATACTCGGCCTCGCCTAGATTAATCATCCAGTGCGGCGTCGGCTGGTCTTCCCCTTTACCCTTGTAGTCGCCCACATCGATGAACTGGAATTCGTGCTTGAATCCGGGATTCGCTGTTTGGAACTCTGGGTTTGAAAGGAGGGAAGGCAGGTTGGAGAGGGCGGGGTATCGCCACTTGTACAGTTCGGCAATGGAAGGGCGGGCACGACCTTGCTGGTCGAGCATAATAGTCGGCACACCCAGTCTAACCAGTCTCTGGAACAAACTCTGTTCAAGATTTGCGTACTGTCGGAAAGCGAGGTTCTGTATCACCGGGCTGTTCTGCAAGTGATCACCCACAAGAACAATGCGCTGAAGCGGCAACTCTCTCTCACCGTCCTCCTGCTCCCGCGGGTTTTGCAACGCGAGCGGGATGAAGTTTTCTATCTCGGTAATCTGAGCAGCTTCTTCCATGATGACGTTGTCGTAGTGGAAACCCAAGTTGGCAATCTCTTGTCGGCGCATCGCGGCGTGGGTTGATGTCATGGCGATGATGCGAGCCTCTTTTATGAGCAGGTAGTTTGCTTTATCGCGTGGGTTTCGCAAAATCTCAAACGGACGGATGTCTTCCAGCTCGGCAAAGACCTTCTCGATGTGGCGGTAACATCCCTGTGCAATCTCAAGAATCTCTTCGCGGTCTGCGGCCTGGGGGAAAAGAGGTTGTGGTGCGTTGGAGAAGTAGTCTTTGAATGGGAACTCGGTGACAATCTGCTCGACGCTTACGTCCTCGGACGTGACGGCGTCCCAGTATTGCGTCCACGCTGGCTTCACATACACAAGGTTGAAGTAGTCTGCTGTTTCGCATGAGCTGCTATGAGCACCAGGCGCACCAAAGTTCTTCGCTAGGCGATCAACTTCAGAGAGGTAGTACTGTCCCCTCTCGAGGAACGACTCCACACGTCCGTGCTTGCTGTAGCTCACATCGGTTTCCAAGTCCTCTTCACCATGACCCAGCCGCAACAGATGTCTTTCATCAATGTCCAGCGCCACAATCTTCTGGAACAGCTGGTTCAGCGCCTGATTGCTGTGCGCAACGAGCAAAGTCCGCTGGTCCGGAAAATTGTGATATATATTGGATATAATCTGGGTCGCAACGTCCGTCTTGCCGGTACCAGGTGGTCCGAGCACGACCGTAAGACCAGGCTGCGTTCCCGAAGTGATGGCTTCAATTTGTTTCGGCGTGAACCTGACCGCATTTGTCTTCGGTGCGTCGGCGGGGTAAGGCCCCATGTTCGGTGGTTTGTACGAGGATACATGAAGCGATTCATGCAGAGGTTGTGCTACCTCAACCTGATTGCGACGCCGCTTTTTGGACGCTTTAGGGGGTGCGAGTTTTGGTTCGGATGCAGCAGCGTATTCCACGACGTATGGAGGCCCAAAGGATGTCTGTGCTTCCTCATGGGGTTCGATGGATTTGCCGGGCATGGACTCGATTAGGTGCTGCCAGTCCAAGAAGGTGTCGCGGAAATCTA